TTCCATAAAATCTCCAGTATGTGGGGTTTGTGTAAACCTAAATTTGGAACTTGGTAAAACAAGTATAGATGAGTACGTGAGGAAGGTGGGAAGTAAACACATTGCTAGAGAAATAGAGGTGGAGATACGGGTGGATCTGGATTTGGTTAGGAATGAATCAGACCATCCTACAGAGGATGGCTCCTCCCTGGATGGACTTGCTATAAAAAGGCTGCTATCCCAGACTTTAGCATCCAGCAAGCTCCATCAGACTACATTCTACTTGCTCTTCTGGTAAAGGAAGTAAGTAAAAGGGAATACATCTAACTTTGCCTACTTGGTGTTAAGCAAGGTAGAAATCTGGAATGTATGCATGTATGCTCTAAGGCAAAATGTTCTTAGATGTTTGGGGTTCTTCATTTTTAGTGGAACTGTTACTAAAAACTTATTTTGATATACAAGAAAAACGAGAGCATAAATGTGTTTTCTATAAAGCTACTCAATACTCTCTTTAAATATTGCTGGATTTTCCGTTTATTCATTCACTGAACAAATATATACTAACTGCCTTCTATTTGCCAAGTGCTCTATTTGGCTGATTATATAACAGGGACAACATAAACTCCCTACTCTTAGGAGCTTGCATTTAGTAGGGGGAGACACCCAGTAAACAATAAATGAACAAAAATTTCAAATAGTGCTAAGAACAATGAAGAAAATAAGAGAATGATGTAGTAAAGTAATGAGAGGAGAGAACTTTAGATTGGATGGCCAGGAAGGATCTCTCTGGGGAATTTTCTTTTGAGCTGAGATCTTAATGACAAAAGGAACAAGTCAAGGCAAACAGCAAGATTCTAAACAGGAGTCAACTTGTTTCAAAGAATAAAAAGAAGCTAGTGTGCCTAAGAGCATATTTAACAAGAGGAACAGTGGTGTATGGTGACATCAGAGAGCTAGATGGGGTAGACCATGTAAAAGGCATAGTAGAGTTTGTACATTATTTTAAGTACATGAGAAGTCACTGGAGAGTATTCAGCAGGAAAAATGAGACAATCTAATGTATGTTTTTAAAAGATCATTCTGGGCTGCTTTGTGGAAAAATAAGTTAATAGGAAGGCAAGAGTGGAAGCAGGGAGACAGACTGAAGTTTAGGTGAGAGATGATGGGAGTAAGAGTAGTGAGGAGTAACTCTTTGCTCAAGCCAAAATCTAGAGGTTATCCACGATCCCTGTCTTTCCCTACCCCACAATTATCCATCACCCTGCCCAGTCAACTCTGCCTTTAAGACATGCCTAATCCATCTGTCTCCCTGACCACCACTACCACCCTAGTCCAGGCTATCCTTCACTCTACCCCTGACTATTATATGAAAAAAACACAACTTAGTTATTCATTTTTCTATCAGCAGATATTTGGGTTGTTTCCATTGGGGGAGGTATTATAAATAATGGGGCTATGAACACTTTTGTACATGATTTTTGGGTGCATATATTTGATTACATATATTTCTACTTAAAGTATTCCCAAGGAGTAAATTTCTGGGTCTTAGATACTGCCAAACAAATCCTCAAAGTACTTCGGCCAGTTTATGCTCCTTCTAGCAGCATATGAAAGATCCAGTTTCTCCACATCCTCACCAATATTTAGTATTGTAAAGTTTCTTCTTCCTTTTTGTCTTTTTATTCATTTTGGTGGGTGTAATGTGGTCTCACACTCTAATTTTAATTTATGTTTCCCTGATGATTAATAAAGTTGAGAACTTTTGGTATATTTATTAGCCACTCGGATACCCTTTTCTATAAAGTTCCTACGGATTCTGCCCATTTTTCTATTGGGTTGTCTGTGTATTTTGTATTGATTTACAAGAGTTAATTTTATAATCAGGATAGAACCCTTTATTAGTCTAATGTGTTGCACATATCCTCCCACTCTGTGGCTTTCCCTTCTCTCCTTTAATAGGGTCCTTGAATAAACAGCCATTCCTACTTTCAATGGAATCCAATTTATCAATCTTTTCTTTATGATTAACACTTTTTGAATTCTATTTAAAAAGCATTTCTCTACCCTCAAGGTCTTGAAAATATTCTCCTATGTTATTTTCTTTTATCTTTTACATGTAAAATCTACCTAGGAACTAATTTGTTTTACTATATGATACTTCAATTAACCTAACACCATTTATTCAAAGTCTGTTCTTTTCCTACTGACCTGCATCACATCTTCACCATAAATCAAATATGCATAGTGACACAGGTCTGATTTTGGACTATTACCTTCTACTGATCCATCTGTTTAGCCATTCACCGATACCATGCTATCTGCCTTTATAATACACTTTTACATCTAGTATATCCTCAAACTTTGTCTTCTTCAAGATTGTCTTGGCTAGTCTTGGCCCTCCACATTTTAAAGTAGCTGGAAATTAAGACTTCTGTTTTGAACATAATAGTTTTGAGATCGCTATTAGCCAAGAAGAAATATCGTATAGGCCTTTAGACATACACATCTGAAGCCTAGGGAAGAGTCTGTTGCTTAACATATAAAAGTGGGAATTGTTAATTGTCAACCTAATATAGGATTTAAAGTTAGAGGGCTAGATGAGATCTCCCAAGGAAGTATAAATAGAGAAAGGAAGCTAAGGAGTGAATCTCAGAGCAGAGCAACATTAGGGGCTGGAAGAGGAAACTAGGAGAAAGTGGGCAGTAAGCTTGGAAAAGAAATAAGAGTATGAGGCCTCTGAAGGACAACGTAGCCATGCTGCTGATATGACAAGCAATGTGTGAATTGAAAATGGATAGTTGAATTTGCCAAGGTGAAGAACATTTTTTATCTTCATGAGAGATTTCATGGATTTTTTAGAGAGAAAGACAATCTGAGTAAAATGAAACAGGAAGTGAAAAAAAAAAGCATACCTATAGCTTTTGAAGGAGTATTACTATAAAAGGGAAAAGATAAATCAGATTGTGCCTAACGGGAGATGTGGGATGGGGGCAGGAAAGGCATTAAAAAAGAGACACATCAGTGTGAACACATGGATATATCCAGTAGAGAAGAGGACAACTACAAAAGCAAAAGCACAATGATTTCTGTGCATTGATTTTGTATCCTGCCACATTACTGAATTGCTGTATGAGTTCTAGTAATTTGGGGGTGGAGTCCTTTGGGAGATGGAAAAACATTCCATGCTCATGGATCAGAAGAATAAACATTGTTAAAATGTCTACGCTACCCAGAGCAATCTATACCTTCGATGCCATCCCATTCAAAAGTCCTTTGGGAGATGGAAAAACATTCCATGCTCATGGATCAGAAGAATAAACATTGTTAAAATGTCTACGCTACCCAGAGCAATCTATACCTTCGATGCCATCCCATTCAAAATTCCAAAGACATTTTTCAAAGTGCTGGAACAAACAATCCTAAAATTTGTATGGAATCAGAAAAGACCCCTAATCACCAAGGAAATGTTGAAAAAGAAAAACAACACTGGAGGCATCACGTTGCCTGATTTCAAGCTATATTACCAAGCAGTGATCACTAAGACAGCATGGTACTGGCACAAAAACAGACATATAGACCAATAGAACAGAAGAGAGCCCAGATATGCACCCTCAACTCTATGGTCAAATAATCTTTGACAAAGCAGGAAAAAATATGCAATGGAAAAAAGAGTCTCTTCAATAAACGGTGCTGGGAAAATTGGACCAAAAGCAAAACTGAACTTTTGGGACTTCATCAAGATCAAAAGCTTCTGCACAGCAAAAGAAACAGTCAACAAAATAAAGAGGTAACCCACAGAATGGGATAAGATATTTGAAAATGACACTACAGACAAAGCGCTGATTTCCAAGGTCTATAAAGAACTTCTCAAACTCAACACCCAAAAAACAAATAATCAAGTCAAAAAATGGGCAGAAGACATGAACAGACACTTCTCAAAAGAAGCATACAAATGGCTAACACACACATGAAAAAATGTTCATCATCATTAGCCATCAGGGAAACTCACATCAAAACCACATTGAGCTACCACCTTACACCAGTCAGAATGGCAAAAATTGACAAGGCAAGAAACAACAAATGTTGGAGAGGTTGTGGAGAAAGGGGAACCCTCTTACATTGTTGGTGGGAATGCAAGTTGGTACAGCCACTTTGAAAAACAGTGTGGAGGTGCCTCAAAAAATTAAAAATAGAGCTACCTAAGAGCCAGCAATTGTACTCCTGGGCCTTTACCCCAAAGACACAGATGTAGTGAAAAGAAGGGCCATATGCACCCCAATGCTCATAGCAGCAATGTCCACAATAGCCAAACTGTGGAAAGAGATCAGATGCCCTTCAACAGATGAATGGATAAAGAAGATGTGGTCCATATATACAATGGAATATTACTCAGCCATCAGAAAGGATGAATACCCAACTTTTACATCAACATGGATGGGAATGAAGGAGATTATGCTAAGTGAAATAAGTCAAGCAGAGAAAATCAATTATCATATGGTTTTACTTATTTGTGGAACATAAGGAATAGCATGGACGACATTAGGAGAAGGAAGGGAACAATGAAGGGGGGGACATCGGAGGCAGAGATGAACCATGAGAGACTATGGACTCTAAGAAACAAACTGAGAGTTTTAGGGGGGAGGGGGATGGGGGGATGGGTTAGCCTGGTGATGGGTATTAAAGAGGGCACGTACTGAATGGAGCACTGGGTGTTATATGCAAACAATGAGTCATGGAACACTATATCAAAAACTAATGATGTAAAAAAAAAAACTAATGATGTAATGTATGGTGATTAACATAACGTAATGAAAAAAACAACTAATGATGTAATGTGTGGTGATGAACATAACATAATAAAATAAAATTTAAAAAATTAAAATTGAAATTAGTTAATTAAATAAATCCTTTTTTTAAATGTGGAAATTCATTATAATAATTGATAAGAATTAGAAAAAGAAAAGATATACAAGAAGTCCCCTTTTATTTCTTCTTTCCAGGTTCGCTTGTACTTCCAAAAGATGTCTACTCTACTGGAAAATATCATGGCCATTATCAACCTATTCCATGACTATTCAACAACAGACAAGGAAACTGACACACTGAGCAAAGAAGAACTGAAGGAGCTCCTGGAAATGGAGTTTCGGCCAATCCTGAAGGTAAGGGATATCTGCTGGAACATAAAGGTTCATCATGCTTGCTCTGCAGCAGCAATATGACAAATAATAACTGTGAACTTTTGTGAATTATTGTTTTTGGAATAGAAACAGATTTAATCTGATTTCAAAATAAATATAATCTGTTTTCCTCTCTTTATACCTTAATACACTACACACACACGGATGTGCACAATACACAAACCCACCACATACATCTTCTGTGAAAAACATATAAATATTTATTGACAACAAATGAACACCAAATAATTAGTTCTTCATATTATGTTTCCTAACCTCAAGAATGTTAAGAAGATATACTTAAGAGACAACTCACTGATAGATTTCATAACATATTGACATATAAAGAAAAAAAAGGGGGCACATGACACATCAAACTTTTTAGTGTCAACAAACCAGCATTAAAGATATATTCTTTTAGTACAATAGCTAGAGTTTCTTCCGAACTCATCATAAGCTGAACGTTATTAAAGAAAAAACCCACATAGCGTCCCACATTTACTTACCAAAAATCACATTCACCAAATTGGTTTTGAATTATTCAACTGATCATGTGAGTCATTCTCATGTAACCTCCCCCTGTCTTCCATATGTACAGAATCCAGATGACCCAGACACTGCTGACGTCTTCATGCATATTCTTGATTTAGACCATGACAAGAAAATAGACTTCTCAGAGTTTTTTCTGATGGTATTCAAATTGGCTCAAGCATACTATGATATGACCAGAAGACAGAACTTCCAAGCATCAGAACAAAACCAAAAAAAATATGCGTACCACACACAAGATGAAGAAGATGACACAGGGGAAGACAAAGTAGAAGAAGAGAAAGAAGAAAGAATTAGAAAATCCAGTCAATCAGGAAAAAATCATAGAAAGGGGAAGAAAACAATATCCAACAGCCCAAAAGGAAGAGGAGGAAAGGGACATGAACAGACATCAGACAGCTCTAGACATGCACGATCCCATAAGGGTCAGGTAGCTGACAGTAGACACTCTGAGTCAGGATCTCCCCATCGCCAATCATCCACTTGGACACATGGCTCTAGACAATCACAGTCTGGACATGGAAAATCATCATCTGAAATCAGGCCAGCGAAAAGTCCAGGGTCCAGGATTAGGCAGGACAGTGATAGTGAAGGACACTCAGAAGATTTGGAAATACAGTTTGGATCTGCCTCAGGAAACCAATATGGATCTCCCCATGGCCATGCAGGAGACAGCTCGAGATGCTCTGAGTCTCATCAATGGCAGACAGACAATCATGCACAGTCTAAGTCTACCCATAGACGGTCAAGCTCTGGTACCAGAAGAAGACAAGGATCTAGTCATAGACACTCTACACACACCTCTAGACAATCAAGGTCTCCTTATGGAGACACATCCTCTCAGGAATACACAGGCTCCTTCCATAGGCAGTCAAAACCAAGCACAAGAGGAAGACAAGAACCTTGGCATGAGCAGTCAACAGACAGATCCAAACATTCAGGCACTGAATATGGACAACAATCCTCCAGATCCAGAGCAAGCAAGCATCAGGGATCCAGTGTGAGTCAGGCCACCGACACTGAAGGACATTCAGAAGATTCATGTAGAGAATCCTCAAAGACCCACAAAAGAACTGGTTCCACATCAAGGAATCAACACGGGTCTACCCATAGCAGGTCAGCTGACAGATCCAGGCAACCAGGGTCCCATAAAGGGCAGAGGGCCAAACAAAGGCAGCCTGAATCTGCCCACAAAAACTCGGGATCCACCACCAGGGAAAGACAAGGGCGCCATAATGAGCAGTCACAGGAGAGCTCCAGACACTGGAAAACTGGACAGGGACAAACCTCTTCTGAATCTGATAACAGCAGACACCAGGGATCCAGTATCAGTCAGTCCAGTGACGCTGAAGGACAATCAGAAGACTCAGATACGCAGTCAGGCTCAGTCCAGGAACGGTCCAGGTCCAGGCAAAGGAGACAACATGGCAGTGCACATGGCAGTCCTGAGCACTCAGGGGATCACTTCTACCAGATATCCTCCCAAGAACAGTTTGATTCTGTCCATGGACAGTCTCAATCCAGTGCCAGGGGGAGACAAGGATCCCGCCATGAGCAGGCAC